CCCTCATCAGCTGTTCGAGGTCGTCGGCGCTGTCGTTCGGCAGGGCGTAGATGAAGTCATCGCCCCAGTGAACCCCCAGCGCCTCCAGCTCGCTACTCCAGTACAAGCACGGGACCACCGCGTTCCTGTCGAAGCCGTGCTCGCTCAGGTTGTCCGCCACGTACGTCTGGAACACCTGGCTCGCGTCCCTCGTTCCATATAGGCTCCGAAGCAGCCTCCACACCTTGCCCTTCTTGCGCAGGTCCTTCGGCGGTACCACGTACAGGACCTTCCGCACCAGGCCGTGGAAGAACGCCACAGAGATGTCAAACAGCAACAGGATCATCTTGACCCCCGCGCTGTTCCTTCTGGGACTGTAACTCGCCGCCCACGCCAGTATCAGTCTCACGAACTTCAACGGCGGCGTCGCAGCGAAGCAGTCCGTCCTAACCTCGCCTGTGTTGATCTCGGTTGCGACCAGCCTGCTCCTGACCTCGGCGCTGTTCGGGTCCTTCCGCGTCTCCACCCACTTCGACCAGATCTTCTTCCCTGGCTTGCTGATCATCTCGGACTCGTCCACCTCGATCTTCACCTCGAACTCCGCCAGGTCGCGCAGCTCCTTGGACCTCCCCTTGCGCACCTCTTCGCTGTCCAGCTGCTCGCCAGTCCTCGAGTCGTACGCCACGATCCCTTCCGCCGACGCGGGGTCCTCGTAGTTCACCTCGCCGATCATGTCGCTCTGGCTGTCGTCGGTGGTGGTCTCGAAGTTGCCGTCGTCCATCGCCGCGAGCCTCCACTCGTCCTCCTCTGGGATGAGCATCGCCACCACGTCCACGCCATCGATCACGTGCAGGCCCCCGATCATCACGTCGTCTGTGCTGGACCTCGCCTCGCTCTCGCTGACGACGACCGTGCCTGCGCCTCCCACGGCTGGGATCGCCACAGGGGGTTGAGACCTCACCTTCGCCGTCGGGCGCTCGGGGGCCTCCTGCGGAAAGGCCACCGCCGCGGGCCTACCTCTCTGTGTCGAAGCGTCCGCTCTGTCAACCTCCATGTTCTCGGCCGCGACTCCTCCGCTGCCGTCGCCCCCAGCTGGTGTCCTGGGAGCGTCGCCGCTCGCTGCCGACGATGGTTCTGCAGCGCCTGCGGGCGGCCCTGGGTCTGGTCTCGCCGCCAGCGGCGTGCCGACTGCGATGCCTCTCGGCCCTGCCGCCGCGTCTGCCACCATCTTCTCCAGCCTCGCTCGACACACCTCGGTATGTGGCCCCAGCCCCGCGCAGCCCGAGCACCCAGGCGTAGGCCCGTACTTCTGCACGATCGCCCTCGTCAGGTAGAGCCTCCTGTGCCCTGATGGCCCCTGATCCTGCTGCGACACGATCGGCGCCTTCAGATCCGATGCCGTGCCGTTCCACGGCAGACCCTTCACCTTCGCCAGCTCCTCCTTTACGTACCGCTCGTCAACTGGCAGTCGATGTACCGATCTCGCTTTCTTCACGCCGTCCACGGTCAGGACGAGGTGTTCGTCCGTCAGCGGTGCCTTGCCGACCCACACCCCGTGCGCCCACTTCTGGTCCAGGTTGCCGCTGGGCACCGCCGTGTACTTGTACATCACGCGCTCGCCGAAGGGAAGCACCTCCCCGCCGTAGGCCTTGCCGAAGATCCGCACGTAGGGGGTTCGGCCGTCGCTCTTCACCTGGAACCTCGTCAAGCTCCATGCCGCGTGCCTGACCCCCCAGGCGATCAGGATGCTGTCGGTCGACACCTTCTCGCCCATGTGCTCCTCCATGTTGATCCAGATCGCTCTCAGGACGCCGTTGATGACCCTGTTGGCGCCCTCTATCTTGCCCTGGCTCTGGTGGCTGCCTCTCGGCCCATGCCTGACCAGAGTCCGCTTCACCCTCTTGCTCTGCACCGCCTTCAGCAACTGCACTAGCACTGGCTCCTGGTCCGAGTGAAGCAGCACCGCGTTGTGGCCCAGCGCGTCCACGAACGCCAGGATCGTCTCCACCAGGTACTCGCTGAAGGCCTTGCTGGGGCACAGAGTCGCCGACAAGCTCTCCGACCCGACGTCTACTCCGTTGAGGGACGGAATGCCAGGGCTTGCATCTGATTCTCGTCCGATCTCCGCGAAGTCAAACTCGATGCGTGGGATCGCTGCCTCCTCTGCGCTCAGGCCCGTCGGGTCCTCGCTTCGTCGATGAGGTTTGTCCGCCGCCCTCGCCGCCACGCAGTGACTGCACCAGCTCCTGTAGGGTACGTGCCCCGCGGACTCGTGTTGAGCCCGTTCCTCTGCCGTCGGCGTGGCAGGTCCTGTCGGCACTTTGATGCGAACTGCTGGATCCCCATCTTCTGCAAGCGTGGCCTCGGCTGCTGGTCCAGCCGCCCCGAACGCCGCGTGCTCTCTGGCCAGCGCTCTCTGCTCGATCTCCGCCTGCGTCAAAGGGTTGAGCTCCAGCGCGTTCGAGCCTCCGATCTTCGAAGGCCGAGCGATCGCGTAGAACAAGTTGCCCTTCCTGATCAGCTCCAACTCCTTGCCATCTTTGACGATCCACGACTTGCTCTTCGTGAAGTAGGCGTCGCACCCCGACTCGATCATCGCGCCCAGCGACCAGATCGGCCTCTTCACGTCTAGCACCCTGTAGTCCGTCGTGATCTTACCGAACTCCGTCTCATATGAAACCCGACGTCGCCCATGCTGCGCAATCAGCTCGCCAGTCGCCGTTGTCATGCGCCTCGGACGTGCTTCCTCTCGCAGGCCGTTCTCGGGCACGTGGTCTCGAGGACATACGTTTGCCGAGGCGCCTGAGTCGACCATGATGAGTTCGCACAGCTCGTCGCCCTCGAACTCCTCGTCAACCATGAACACCCAGCCGTCGTCCTGCTGCACCGTGTTGAGCGCCGCGGCCGTCCCCGAGCCTCCAGCGTGTCCCGCCTTCTTCTTCTCCTCGAGCCACGCGGTGAACTTCGGGCAATCCTTGCGCTCGTGGCCCTTCTCTCTGCAGAAGAAACACTTCCTCTCCTTCTTGCTGGCCTCGCCTTTGTTCTTGTCTTTGCCATCTCCCTTACCTTTGCCTCTGCCGCCGTCCTTACCCTTGCCATCTCCTTTGCCTTTGCCTCTGCCGCCATCCTTACCCTTGCCTTTACCGCCATCCTTGCCCTTGCCCTTCGAGGTAAGCGCGTCCACCTCCATGGGAGCCGAGTCGCCATCGACACCCCAACGCCTCTCCGCTTGGTGAACCGCCTTCCACTCGTCCTTCAGCGACGCGTAGTCCTGCAATCTCGTCGCGTTGAGGCCGACGTGTCTCCTCCATTCAGGGTCCTCAGGGTTGTTCGAGATCACCGCCGCCTTGATGGTCTCCTGGAGGATGTCGCCAGACTGCGCCTCGTACTGCCTGACGAGCCTCTCGAACTCCTCGATGGCTAGTCCACGGTCACCTGTGAACTGGTACTGGAGGATCTGCATCAGCATCGCCCTGAAGCGGCCCTTGTGGGCCGGCTCGAACTCCTCCAAGAACCTCCGCCAGATCTCGTAGCCGTTGCTGGGATCTGGTAGCTTCGTGACCATCTGCAACGCTACGTCCTTCGTGTGCATGGTGAGGATGAACGCCAGCTGCCTGGCTCTCCTCTGGGCTTCGGCGGCCATGTCGTTCATCGTGAGCTCTCTCGTCGGGTTCGCGTCCACGTCGAGCACCTCCGCGTGCAGCGTCTCGTCTATCGCCGACAGGTACTGACGCATCTTGAACGACCAGTTCTTCCACTCCTTGGCCTCGCCTGTGAAGATCTCGGGCTTGTTGCCAACTCGCAGGTCCACCAAAGAGATCGGCGCGCCTGCTCGTGCTTCTCCTGCTGGCTGCTGGGCTGCCGCGCCGTCGCCTGCTGCCCGCACCGCCGCCAGCTCATTCTGCGCCGCCGTGAGCTGCCTCTGCTGAGTCTCGATCACCGTACGCTGCTGCCGCTGTTGCTCTTCGAGCTGGGCCAGCCTCTGCGTCAGCGCCTCCATCACTCTCTATCGTGCCCACGATCTCTATCGTGTTCACACCGCTCTCTATCGTGTCCACGACCTCTATCGTGTTCACTCCACTCTCTATCGTGTCGACCACGACCTCTATCGTGTTCACTGCCACGCTCTCTATCGTGTCGACCACAGTTCGTCGATCGTGTCAACCACGGCTCCAGGCTACCATGCGCGGAGTGGGCGTCAGCCGAACGGATTGAAACATCCTTTTGACTTGAGCCAAAGCATCACCGACAGATCACCAGTGCTGACACAGAGCAACGGGAATCAAAATCTGGCGGGGCATTCCTCTACCAGATGACCCTGCAGCTCGCTACAACATCATACTACCATGCAGGACCCTAATGTGTCAGCCAGGGTTGGACTACATTGCACCTGACACCCCTGAAATCGCCGCAGGTATTCTTTATTTTTCGTCGACAATCCCCCTGTAGGGGGACACGCCCGACCTAACACCAACCCGAAGGGCGGAGACAACATCCTGCATCCGGCGCCCCCGCGACCAAGGCCGTCCCTGCTCCAGGGCCTGCACCGCCGTGCACGCGGTGCTCGGGGCGCGCCCTGTGGCCGGACACACAAGGGCTCCCAGCTTCGCGCTTCGCGCTGCGGGAAGCACGAAGTGCGAATAACTTCGCGCTCGCGCGCCGCCTCCCAGGGGAGAAGAGGAGGATGAGGAATCGGAGCCGAACCGCGAAGCGCGAATAACTTCGCGCCCTCGAGGGCGCCCTTGGATCCATGCCTCCGCCATGCACACACGGGTGGGCCAGGCATCGCTGCCAGTGTCCCCAAGTTGTGATGTCCCAGCCTGCTGTAACTTTGACCACCAGAAAGAATCTCGAGCGCCCAACAAAAAGTACCGAACCTCCAGGGTCTTGCCGTGTCGGGCTCTGGGAGCCACTCGCCCGACGCTCTTTCGTCACTCCTTCGGGGTGCTCGAGATCACTTCTGGGACGTGGCCCCTAAGCACGCTGGGGGCAGCATCAGCCCCAGGGGGAGAGCATCCCTCCTGGGACGCCAGCTTCCACTCCACCTCGGCGTCCATGAACGCCAGCCCATTCTGCAGGGCGGTGTCCTGCTCCACGGGCCTCGGCACGTCGCGCCAGGAGGGCTCGGCGGCGGCCGGGGGGCGAGCACGCGGCGCCGCGGGCCGGGGAACGCAGGGACGGCGAGCGAGGCCGAGGCGCTGGGCGGACGAGGGGAACCACAGAGAGCAGCATCGCATCACCCCGGCATGGGAGGGCGCCCAGCTGCACGCCGACGCGGGCCCTGACGGGGCCCATCCTGGGCCCAGGACTGGCGCGCACGCCCTCCTCGCGTGGCCAAGAAAGGCGCATGCACAAGTCGTGGGCCCAGGATGGGTCTTGCCAGGATCGGTGCTGCGGCGCACACGCTCGAGCACTACAGCGAACGCTCCGGACAGAACGGTGTGCGCATTGCTGGCGCATCTGCGCCCGAAGCGTCGCCGTCTGCGGCCGCGCAAATACCCCTCACGCCCTGGCGATGTGTGAGCTGTGCAGCAGGAGTGAAATCACCACTGTGCGGACGGAGCCCAGACGCCTCGCACCGCGACCTGGGCGCTCGCTCTTCGCGCACGCGTCAGGATGCGCGGTGCGATGCTGATGATCAGCTTCAGCTCAATGCAATGCCATTCCATGCTGTGCAATGATTACATCATACCGTGCTCAGGTAAACTGCACCATTTTATGCGAATGCTATGATATGTCACGTTCTGTGTTTCATTGGTGCGAAATGGTGCCGTGACATGATATGCTGATCGGTGCTATGTTATGCACGCGTATGCTGTGTTATGATGTGCATTGCATGGCACCACATTGCCTTGCATATTCAGCAACTGCATTGCCCACGTAGGTCTTCAAGAAGGAAGATACGCCCCGTGACGCCAGGTACTCAGTGGAGTGCCCGTGCCCCCAGGTCACTTCGAATAATTACTGTGGATGCTCTTCAAGGGGGCCATTCCCAAGGGATTGATTGCCCAGGGCTTGCCACGTGAGTCTCGGGGCTTCTCGCGTGACTATCACACAAGCCACAGGGCCACAGCAAGACGGGCCCCAACACGCCAAAGATGGCCTCAAAACAGCCCAAGAGGCACCCGAGACGCCCCAAGAAGGCCATCAAGAGGGCGCCAGAAGGCCACCATCATGGAGAACGCCTCTGCCATTGTTTGACCGCTAGAGGCCTCCCGAGGCGTCCAGGGGAGCGCCTCAGGGGACCCTGGAAGAGGAAGATGCATACACCGCCGCCGCCTGGGAGTGTGGAGGCGGGGAGGGGTGGTGGCAGGGGTGGGCGGTGCTGCAGCCCTTCTCGGGCGATCTCGCTCGAGCAGGGACCGACCGTCCCGGCATTCCTATAGTCCAACCACGACATGTTCTCAGAACCCATCCAAACATGTTCCAATAACAAAAACAAAACAATGTTCTTAGACCAGAAACCCGATGTGATAAAACAAAACAGTCCCAACCAGAACTGTTCTGAGAACACTCCGTGGGAACCACAAAGGATCCTTAGAATACCGTGTGGCAGGCCTATAGGCGAGCCAGGACGCCTCGCCATTGAATGACTCGCGGGGACTCCTGCACGCCCGCATCCGGCATAAACCGGGTCACTCCACTTGGCGCACCGCGCCCCACGACGCGCGATGCGCGACTCTGCCTCCGCGCCCTCGCGCCACCCCCTTGGAGGAGGAGGAGGAGGAGGAGGAGGAGGAGGAGGAGGAGGAGGAGGAGGAGGAGGAGGAGGAGGGAGGAGGAGGGAGGAGGAGGGAGGAGGGAGGAGGAGGGAGGAGGGAGGAGGGAGGAGGGCAGCCCCTCCTGCCCAAGCCGTGGCGCGCCGCGCGTGGTGGTCTGCGCACCCCGCGGGCGGCCCAGGCAGAAGCTCCTCCTGCACGCCCTCAGGGCGGCGAGCATGAAGGAGCCCTGGGACACACAAATAAATACACACAGATGACAAGATTCCCCATATTTCCCCATATTTTCTGGGTTCTTGTCTTTCCCCCCACTGTCTATATTTTCCCATATCCTCCTGGGAGTCGACGATTGATTGTGTCCGTATGTTTCTCTCCCTCCTGAGAGTGGGGGAACGAAAAATTGCAGAAACATACGAGTCTCGGAGCTCCGCGCAGCTTGCACCCCCCCGGCCCTGGCGCGCGCAGCGCGCCGGGGGCGGCGCCGGAGGCGGCTCCAGGGGGCCCCGGCGCCGATCCGAGACATCCGCGCGGACCTCCGAGTCCTGCATGCTTGTGCAATTCTTCGTTCCCCTCAGGATGGTGGTGCGCCTCCCCGTCCCCGCACGGCCTCCTCCTGTGCGACTGCCCCCATCGGCCCCGACCTTCCAGGAGGGCATAAAAAAAAAAATAGCACCCGACCAAAAAACCGACCCCAGAGCTTTTCGACGTCTTGGTTGTAGGGCGCTTCGTTCTGCTTGTGGGGTTTTTAGGCCTCCGGTGCTAAAAAAATAGCTCTCTGGAAGGTCAACGGCGGGGCGACCTCCACATGCCTCCTCGGGAGCGGCCAAGAGGGGGGTGTCCAAAAGGGGGGGGTGCAAATCATGACCGGCGGCATGTGCGCGGCCCAGCGGGGGGGGCAGGGACGTAATGAAATAAGAAGAGGCGCCATGAAATCTGGGGAAATATCATGGCCCCCGCCATGATATCCACCCCCCCCTAGTCATCACCCCCCTCTTTTCCGCCCCCGACCTCCGCTCGCCGGGCCTCGCGTTCCGCACACCGCGCGCGCCGCCCGCCGGCGGCGCGGGCACCCGCCCTGGCCTCGGGCAGCCCGCACGGCCTCCCGGAGGCGGGCGGCAGCCCGGCCCGAGGCCGCGGCGAGCCCGAGGCCGCGGCTGCACTGGCGCTGCTCGCGGGCGGCCAGGCAGTGCGCAGGAGGGGGGAGGGCGAGGGGGGAGGGCGAGGGGGGAGGGCGAGGGAGGAGGGCGAGGGAGGAGGGCGAGGGAGGAGGGCGAGGGAGGAGGGCGAGGGAGGAGGGCGAGGGAGGAGGGCGAGGGAGGAGGCAGAGGAGGGCGAGGGAGGAGGGCGAGGAGGAGGATGCGGGATCGGTCAGCATCTAATCGGGCAAAATCGCGCGGGATCGGAATGTGCGTCAGACCGGGCTACATCTGTACGGAATCGAAATCATATCGGATCGGTTGCGGCAGGATGCATCGAATCGGATCGAGCGATGGCTGGCATTGATATCGGATCGACTCATTCGGATCGAAAACAACCCTGGGATTAGGGGGATACCTGTATGGAAATCTCAGAGGTCCACGCGGACCTCCGACAGTTTATTACGTGCACTTTTTCTACAAGGCTGGGAGGGGGAGGAGGGCGAGGTGAAGGGGACACACGAAACGCCTCTCAAACAGCGGGTGAATACGCTCATCCCAGTCCTACCAGCACTGAGCAGCGGGCGTCAACACATTCAACACAACCATCATCGCCAACACGCCCACGGCCACCTTCATGCTGATGTCCTCGCTTGCCAGCGATGTCAGAAGCATCTCTGTGCAGAGACGCCAAGGAAGAGGAGGACGATAATCTAGACACTCCTCTCACGCTCAGGGCATCTGGGGCATCCAGAGAGATAACAGAAAGAATACACCATCGGCCGCTTCGCTCCTATCTGCCTGATGCTTCAGTGCCTGGCTGCATCCCGCGTCGCCTGCCCCCGTAGCGTACCCAATGTAGGGGGCGAGGAAAGAACATCGCACAGGCGCGAGCGGGCCACACCAGTATGACGAGCCGGCCCACTCAGCATAATCGGATGAGCGCAGCAGGACCTGAGAGTCGAGAGGAGACAAGCAGCGGGTATCCTCAAGCTGCCGCATGCCGATGTTTGCCATGTTGTTGCCCTTTTTCAGCTGGCGCTGACACGAGCTGCGCAGGTATGCAGCGACCTCGGCAACCGCAGAGGTGGGAACTGCAGGCTTTCTGCCAATGATGGAATCCCCTTGGATCTGCAAGTCGAACGCAAGTCTGCATCTTTTTGCTGGTTTGGCACGTGCGCCAACGCGCAACCACCATCAACACGAAATGCCAAACATAATGGCGGGCGCAAGCCCAAGCTACTGATACAGCGTGGACGTTGTCCTCTTGTTCTTCCTCCACATCGTAGCGCGGAGCTTACAAACATATCGAGAACCCACGTTCCAAGCTCACCCGAAAACACCAGCACCTCATGCGACCGAATCCAACGACACTCCAGGCTTCCTTCGAGCGGATTCGCTTATCTTCGATCCAACCTACTTTTCGCGTTGCCCAAACCGCCAGCTTCACAACAAGACCTGGACCTTCTCATCCGCGCTCGTGTCGACGGCTGATTGAGCCGTTTGAGAATGCCTAGTAACTGTCTGGCCGAATCTCCATTGCTTCCTGGGCACTTTTGGGGAAATCGTGATTGTATAGTTGCTTCCCTGGCATTCGGATCTACTTGAAAATTGCCAAACACGACCAACCGACCCACGAACACTGCAACATCGAACACCACGACTGTAAAGGCTCTCGAGAACCGCCAATGATACGCCCAACCAGTCCATGTCTGCGCACCATGGTGGCCCCACGAAGGCCCGGGACGCCCCAAGAGGTACCGAAAACGTCAAACAAAAACTCGCAACTCTAGCATCAGTAAGGCCTCATGCTGATCCCACGAAAGCTGTCGCCGGGGACCGGCGGCGGAGGGCGGCAGATTGCAACCACATAATTCGGCGTGAGCCCAGATTGAAGGCTGTATTGTGTGCGCACGCTGGTGACACCATGTGTAACATCCTGTGCACTCGCGCATTCAGGAATGCACCAGTTGGCGATTGGGTCTGGGCAGCACGTGAGGGAGTGCGAGTTGCTGACCACGCGACCCCCCGGGCACCAGGACGTCCGCCCTTCCGAAGGTGAGCGTTTCCTCTTTCGAAGTTTTTCGACCTTGTGCGGAAGGGGGGGGAGGGGGGGGGTTGGCTCCGGACCTCGGCGTACAGTCGGCCTTGATTGGACATGACACGCGAGAAGACACAAGACCCTTCCGAGGGCCACTTTGCCACGGGGGATGTGGGAGGCATGGGCTGCGAGGCACAGGACACAAGGGTACCCAAGGGTACCCTTGACTTGGCAGGGTCGGCCTAATGATCAGGGCCGACTGTAATGCGACTGTTTGCGGCAGCGCGCCCCGTGGGGGAGACTCCACCTGCGAAAAGCAGGCGCCCAAAACGGCCAAGATCTACTCCATGGGGGGGGGCGGGGAAGCGGGGGGGGTCGAGGGCCCGCGCCGATCGGCAAAACTGAAGGGGCCCTGGGACACACAAATAAATACACACAAATAGCAGGATCCCCTATATTTTCCAATATTTTGTGGGTTTCTGTCTTCGCCCCCCACTTCCCATATTTCCTTATATTTTCTGGGGAATCGACGATTAATTGTGCCTGTGTGTGTTTTTCCCCTCCTGAAAAACAAAGGCTCAACAAAAGCGATCACAAAACCTGGCAGTGTTTCTTCAGCCATTGGACCTGTGCTGCTGGGTGCCCTCGTGGCGTCCCAGGAAAGCAGGCGGGTTGGCAGCCCGATCGTCACCACAGCTCGACGGGGCTGTGGGAGAGACTCTTGCCCTGTGGCTGGCAAGCCACAGTAGGTGCGGGCCCGCCGTACCACCCCTGAGAGGCCCGATGGGGTCACTAGAAGGGGTCGCCCGACGTGGGGGGCGCGGGAACTGAAGTCCTTGGGCAAGGGCTCTCCGCTGCTTGAGGCCGGTGGCCAAGTGGGGGTGGTGCCAGTGGCCGTGTCTCGGGGTGGCATCTCGAGGCACCTCGTAACGGCGGCGCAGATGTGACGCCTGGGGGGTGTCTGTGCCGCCGTTCATGTTGCAAGGTCTGACTGCATGCGAATTCATGCAGGCACCTTGGGCACCTCCCTTCGGGTTGTCGCCCAGGTATTCTGTCCAGGCACAACAAAAAGCTTCAGTCATTGTCTTCCTCCCAGGGTCGAATCGACGAAAGCAAACCATACAACGGCGCGGGCCCCTCGACGGCAAACGACGTTGCCAGGGCAGCCCGGGGCGGCCCACGGGACATGCCTCAAGGCCTCTGCCCGACGCCCCCAAAGGTGCCCCGACGTGCTCCGAGATCGCCGAGGATGCCCTCCTCCTCCTCCTCCTCCTCCTCCTCCTCCGCCTCCTCCTGTGCATCTGCACCGAGCCTGGCCAGGCTCATCCTGGGCCAGGCTGATCGCCGAGGATGCCCTCCGAGACGCCCGGGCCGGAGACAAACTGGCCTTTCTTATTCTGAAGCACCTGCGCCCCATGTGGCCACGATGGAGGAATCTCCCTGGGGCAGCGGATCTGCGACTCTCTGCACCAGGCGGATGCCGGCACGTCATACGGTGATTATCATCCTGAGTTGTGTTTTGATGGTCGGCCCATCGGCCTGGACAATGAGCTGGAGTCCATTATGTGTATATCATAGAACTAGTGTTAGTTATTATTGGTATTAGTGTTATCATTCGTAGATTAGTATATTGTATGTTAATGCAAGACGGAACGACGCCTTGTTTGCGCAGAAGCGCCTGGGTGCACAAGGAACGCGCCAGAGGAACAACCATGCCAAGTACCTGAGGAAGCACGAGCCCTTCCGAACCTGAGCGGGTCCTGATTTCCGCGTCTTGACTGCAATACCGTAGCTCAAGTCAGTCACTGCTGCACCAACTGCGCTGATTTCCGTGGGTCCTCAGGTCCTTGGCCTAGTCCCCGAAGCCTGAGTCCTCAATGGGACGCACATAAACATACTAATACTATATGTTCTCCTTGGAGGCGCGCGTCCGACCCGAACATATTGTATACCCATCATGTAGTATGCACACACACACATATATATATATATATATATATATATATATATATATATAGATTCTCCTCTACCTATATTTTTATAAGCCCGGGCGGGGGGAAAACCCGTCACCCCCCCCCAAAAAAAAACCGGACTCCCGGGACCTGGGGCTTTGGGGCCCTCCGGACGGGCCTCGAAGCGGCCACTGGGCCTCGCAAGGCGTTTTGCCAAGCCTTCCCAGCACACTTAGGGCGATCAGGGGGGTCATCGGAGACGTCCCAGAGACCCCCAAGACAGCACAAGAGTGCTCCAAGAGTGACCGACGTGACCTCAAGATGGCCCAAGAGGCCTCCAGGACGGCCCCAGAGAGGCCTCCGAGAGCACTCCCAAGAAGGCACCCCGAGGCAAAAATCATTGATTTTCTGCTGGTTTTGGGAACATTTTGGGGTTCTCCTCTTTTCGGCTTCCCGACGCTCCAAGACGGCGGTCTTCTGGGCGTCCGAAGCCGCCTGGGAGGCTCCCAAATCGCCCCACAACCATCCGAAAGGGCTTCCAGGCAGTCCAAGAGAGCCCCCAAACAGCACAACACGGGTCCAAGATGGCCCTCAGAGGCCCAAGATGGCCCAAAGACACCCTCCGAAGAATTCCAAATCGTGATTCGGTCGTTCAGGGAGACGGCGGTTGGAGGCAGGGTGGCCCGAGGAAGCCCCTGGAGGCCCCCAGAATACGCCCAGGAGGCCTCCAGGAGGCCTCCAGAAGGCCTAAGAAAGCCCGAAACAACTTTTGTGAGGCCCCTAGAGGCTCTCCAAGGAGGAGCCTCCGCAAAAAAGAGCTGAGGAGGATGGTGAGAATGCGCAAGGTATGGCGAAAATAAGGAACAATACGCATGGAGGAAGGATAACGAATAACATCATTATAGCGGCGATGCCGGAAAAGGCAATCAGGAATTATCGCTAAATTGTCGGCTTGACCTTCCTGCCATTCCGCCTACATACCAAACTTCAAGGACCAAGGTGCATGGCGCGAAGCGCCACTGCAGTCTTGTACATATATATATATATATATATATATATAGAAAGAGATACCGTTTCCCGAGCGGTGTGGCCAGGACGCGCCAGCTTCGACGCATACACTCCAAGATTTCTCGGTGCGCGCGTCGCACGGGGGGGCGACGCACATAATACTCGTATGTTGGCGTGACGCCGACTCAATCCTGAAGATTCTTTCAGGGGCCCGGACCCTCTGGCCATCGCTCGGACGTCCATTCGCTGTGTGTTTTTGTTGTTTCGTGCGTGGCTTTTTCGCCAAATGATCAAGGATGCTCCTCGATGGTCCTCGCCGAAGGAAAAATGCACACGTCCGAGCGATGCCAAGCCCAGGACTCACAAACCTTCCGGGGCTTGTCGCGTGGCCCCCGGGGCGCATCGCGTGCCCCCCTGGGCCCCTGGAAGCGTTCCCGCATACCAGTGGGGGCCCGACCACAAGAAGCCTTCCACAAGAAGCCAATCCCGAGAGGCAGGGCGTTTCTTGGCACGGGTGCCCACTGCAACTTTGTCGGGGCGCAGAGGGCCCCGAGACGGGCCAAGAGGGTCCCAAGAGGCTGCCCAGACGGGCCAAGGGTGCCCCGAACCGCCGAACGATGGCTCGAAGGTGCACAAGATTGCTCCAAGACGGCCTCGGAGGTCCTCAAGACGCTCCGAATGAGCTCCAAGAGGCGTCCCGAGAGGGCCCCGACAGGTTAAAATCATTGATCTCCCTCCAGTGTTCCAATGTTTTGTGTTCTCTATTTTTCGAGCCTCCGACGCTCCAAGACGTCCCAAGAGGCCGCCAAGACCGCTCCAAGACGGCCCAAAATGGCGTCCAAGAGGGCCTCAAGACGGCCTCAGAGGAACCCAAGACAGCCCCAGAGGCTCCCGAGTCAGCACAAGAGGGCCCGAACACGGCTCCAAGAAGGGCCCAAAGAGAGGAACACGAACCGAAAATCCGCGCCTTCCGCCCTCAAGAGGCCTGAAAGAGGCCCCAAAACAGACCCCAGGAGCCTTCAAAGTCGCCTCCAGGAAGCCGCCGAGAGGCCTCACACGAGATCCCAACGAACATCCAAGAGGCACATCACCCACAACCCCGGCACGGTGGCGGGGTGGGCCGAAGGCCATCAAATAATGATGAACGAACTCGCTCAAAACCAAACACTGATGCACTAACTGCGCTGATTGCCGTGATACATGAGTGTCGATATCGCGAACGCCTAAGCCCTACCGAGCGTACGCATCAAGATTGCTGAGGGGCACTCCAGTTCGTCATGCAGAAGCTCATTCTGAAACGTCTCGAAGTCCACCTGGCCAGCATCATACGCTCCGTCGGCTTCTGCCCTCCTCTTTGGGGCAACCCGTATCTCCGCATGCCCTCCTGCTGCAGGTCATTATGCCTTGTAGTAAACACTCAGGAATCACTCGGGTCGCATCTATCCCTCGCACATCTACAATGTGGCCTGTGCAATTTCGCTTAATCAAAACAACGATCGGGGAAATCATGATAGCATGGAGTGCCGACCGGCTTGAAATCATCAAATTGATTCCTGTTCCGCAAAACGACGATGTCTGTCTCTGTTACCCTGCTGGGTGACAGAAACAATTATCCACACATGATCCCGAACATGACGATGGGAGAGGGAACAGATCAGGCGGACAAATGACTGACACGACCAGACAATCGGCCACCGCTTCGTCTCCGATGGGCTCATCGACAACGGCGTCCGACGCGTCCGGGATTGTCACGCCGTTCAAGGTCGTGCGAGTCTCCAGTCTGCGAAGGCTGGCCCCTAACGCAGTGCGTGTGCTGCTCCTGGGCGCTACCCTGCTCCGTCCATGCCAACCCTGCGCAGAGGAGCACGCGATCCTTGCCACACCAAACTGCCTGACACTTGCCCAACGACAGCTTTTGACAGACGTCTGCGAACAACCTGAACCCGCCTTAAAAGCGGCTCCAGCCATGCCGAAGATGGGCCCCAGGAGGGCCAAACCAACCAACCCACAGGTCATTGCTAGGACCACCGCCCTTGCAACTTGAGGGTCGTGACTTTTGGGTGCTCGGCTTTGGGGTGAACTCGTTGAAATCAATTCTGACATCCGCCACCGTACCTTCAGCACGTAGTGGAGTGCACCAAGGCTCATACAATTGCGAGATTTCAAAAGATTGCTGGTTCTTCGAAGGCCCGGACCACGAATCTCCTGGAATTGCCGGGCGCTCCCTGGGCGTGGCTGATGGGCTTCTGGGACGGTGCGCCCGCCCACAACTCCATGGACTGCCGACAGTCTCCCGCGAAACGCCTAAGGCGGTCCTAGAGAGCACCGAGACGGCCCATGCGGATCCAAAGACAGCCCACGATGGACTCCAGACTGCCCAAGAGGCCCCCAACACACCCCTGGTTCCAAGAGGCCGCACAAAAGCAAATATCATGTACTTTCCAGCGACTTTTGAAGAAACTTTGTGCTCTCGCCTTCTTGGCTTCCGACGCTCCACGATGGCCCACGAGGCCACACAGATCCCCACAAGACAGCCCAATAGGCCCCAAGGAGAGCCCCAAGACGGCTCAGTAGGCCACAAGATGGCCCAAAAGGCCCCCACGACGCCCCCCCCCACAGCGGGGGAAATACGAACTCACAATTCGAGCCCTCATCCCTAAGATGACCATCCCCGGGACCGTCAGCAGACTCCCAAGAGGCCCCCTGGAGGCCCCCACGACGCCCCCAGGGTCCCCAATAGACTCCCCAGATGCGCCCAGAGGCCCCCAAGATGCCCCTGGAGGCCTGCAAGAGCCCTCCCAGAGGCCCCCGAAAGGCATCCATGACCCAGGCACAGGATGGGCCGAAAACCATGAGATAGCGCACTCATCTTCTTCGGACAAGCTCTCGTCCATGCCTGCTCTCTGAGATCTGGGAGTCAAGCCTTGGGACTACAGGCGCCGATCACATCTTATGTGGACTAGGGAGGTTTGCGCTCGCTTCGGCGCGGATGCCGCCCCGTGGAGCAATACAAGTGTGTCCGTTATCACTATCCCCAGAACGCCATCTCCTTCTCCTCCTCCTCCTCCCGGCACTGACGGGGAACATGGCAATGGCGACCAGCATCCCAGGATTTCGTGGGTCTCCCGTCTGGACCGACAAATGGTGCCAACCTCGGGGCTATACGATGAGGGGGCCGTCCACCCTCGACGGGGGTGCGCTCGAATAGCACAGCCTCCCTCGGGGTGCATCCCCGCGGATACCCCCCAGGAAGTGGGAGCGAGAAATCGCCTGCGCCTGCGATCTCCTCCCCAGCTTGCCAGGGCGCAGCAGCCACGTGTATCCGCGGTGCTGAAGTCCCAGGAACGGCTTTCTGGCACGATTTAGGACTGTCAGGACGCAACAGCCATGTTGATCCGCAGCGTTCAAGTTCCAGGAAAGGTGTTTTGGCACGAGTGAGGATTCTCAGACGGCTGCCTTCCAATCGGGCACTCCCAGCAATGAACAGACGTCGGCGCAGGGACCGAAGCCGCCCTCGCCGAGCCCCCCGAACCCCCTAACAAGGCCCAGAAGCTACGCCACATGGAGGCCCAAGCGCTGCAATGCGCAGCTGTCCGCCCAGGGCCTCTCTCGCAAACTCCTTGGAACACAAAATTACAGTCGGTGATGGCCTCAATCGGGGGAACCGCCACCTTAAGAAGTTGCGCCACCGCAGACAACTTGACTCCACCTATGTCCCGCGCGGGACTTGGACACAGACCATTCGCAATGCCCTGGATTCCCAGCGGACCCGATGCAAGCGCGACGATAGCCCGCCCCGCAACCGACCCCTCCGCCCAACCCACCTTTGAAGACCGAACCATCAAGGTAGGCCTGCGGGGCTTGAATCATACCAAGGCCCGAATGGCGATGCCACGCTATCTGCTGATCAGAAGGCGGCCTCCACCCTGCAGGCACTCTGGCACGAGCCCCCAAACACCTCTCAAGAAGAAGCTTGACGACGGCCCAAGACGGCACAAGAGGCCCCAAAGATCATCCCCAGAGCGCCCAAGAGGCCTCCAAGATGGCCTCAGGACGGCCCAATAGGCCTCCACGACGCCTAAGATGGCCTCCAAGACGGCCCTGCAGCACCCCACGAGACACCCAGTCACAGAGGCCCTCAAGACAGTTTCCGACGGCTGTCAGACGGGCCAGGAGCCCACCACGACGGCCCAAGATGGCTCTAAGATGGCCCAAGACGACCCAAGAGGCCCCTAAGAGGTTTCCAAGACGGCCCAAAAGGCCTCCAAGAGGGCCCCCAGGAAAGCCCGAAGATGCCCAAATCGTTGATTTCCCTTAGGTGGTTGAAGGAGTCTTGTATTTGCTTCCGTTCGGCCTTTCGACTGCCTTTCGACGGCCCAAGAGCCTCGAAAGAGCGCCCAAGAGGTCTCCAAGTTAGCCCCAGAACGGCCCAAGAGGCCCCCAAGACGGCCCAAAACAGGGTTCCCAGGCGGCCTAAGAGGCCTCCAAGGCGCCTGGAGCACCCCAAGAGTGTTTCCAATCAGCCCAAAGAGGCACCCAAGACGGCTTCCGACAGCGTCCGACGGGCTAGGAGTGCCCCGAGACGGCCGAAGAGGCCCTCGAGAAGCTCCCGAATGCGCCCAAGAGGCCCAAGGAGGCCCCCAAGATGCATCCAAGGTGCTCCCAGGAAGCTCCCAGGAGGCCCCAAGAGTGCCCCCAGAGGCTCCCAAGACGCCCCCTCATTCCTCCTCCTCCTCCCCCTCCTCCTCCTCCTCCTCCTCCTCCTCTCCTCCTCCTCTCCTCCTCCTCCTCCTCCTGATCTTCCCCGCCATCCTCCCCAAAGCGTTCACCGAAGGGTTTCCACAACGGTTGGGGGAACACATGGTCCGATAGCTTGGCAGAGCTCTTGACACAACTCGGTGATTCGCCGTGGGCGTCTTCGATGCTGCGCATTCCATTACACTCGCCACGCGGCAACACTTGGGGGAAGCAATGACCCCCATCAAGCCATTATTAAGGACCCCCCGGGATTATCATTAGCACGACACCGTAATTAAATAATTAGGGGGGGCGGTTTTCGCCGAACGATCTGATTAGCACCGTGCCAATGAAACGAACACAAATAATTCCCGCGCCCCGGCTCGGGTGGTATCCCAATTGGAATTGGAATAATAATAAGAGTGACATACGAATAATACGAATAAGACAACTAGTACTAATACTACGAGTAAGAGAAGTACTAACTGTACTATGAGTAATAATAAGAGTGATACGTTTACTCCTAACACGCATAATAATCCGAATTCGAATACGAATACGAGTAACAATAATAATAAGAGTAATAGCAACAATGAAAACTAAACATGATACCAATACTATTATTAAGGATACTCGTAAGAGTACGAGTAGTAATAATAATGAGAAGAGTAAGAATAAGAGTAAACATGATACAACTACGAATCAGTATCACTATCATAATCCGAATACGAACCATAATCATAATAAGCAGAAAAAATAATAAGAGTCATAATTACAAGGATAATACGAATACGAATACTATTAAACATAAGAGTGCGAATAATAATAACATATTGATCTCATTATCGTCATCATCCTTGTCCTGTACGATGTGTATTACCACCCCTGTTGAAAACATGTATGTTTCCCGGCCGTCGCGTGGGGTGGTGCATCCGAGGATATCGCCCACGCCAGGGACAGCGCGTTATCTTAGCACCGCACCCGCACGAAATAATTACGACAGCTTCACCACAAATACAAGACATATAATAATAAGAATGGCAATACAAATAAGAATAATATGAATAATAAGAATAATAATGCGAATAAGAGTAAGGATAATAATAAACGTAAGAATGGGACACAGACGGGCTCCCCTGCTTCTTTCCTCTCCCCCTCCTTTTTCTCATTTTCTTCATCATCTTTGTCCTATACGATTATTATTTCCACCGCTATTGAAAACATGTTTTTTCCCGGCCGTCGTGTGGGGTAGTGTGCATCCGAGGATATCGCCCCCGCCACGCACGCCGCGTTATCTTAGCACCCGCACCGCCAAAATTATTCGCCCCCCCATCGTAGGCACGGACGGTTCCTTTTCAAAGCTGGGCTCTCCCTTGCGTGGGACTTAATGTTGTTGTTGTTGGTGTTGGCGGTGTTGTTAGTGTTTTGGATGTTGATGTTGTTGTTGTTGGTGGTGTTGCTGTTATTGGCCTTGTTGTTCTAGATCTAATTCGTATTGCTGGTATTATTGTCTTTGTTCGTGTTGGTGCCGTGCCGTAAGGGAGTCTTGAGGAGGAGGAACAGGAGGATGTTTCTCACGGAGGCATGGGTGCTCTTCTGGACGCCTCCTGGATGGGGTCCGAGTGGTTAGCCGGGGTCGGAGGGTCGCGCTGCATCGCCCATGCATCGGCGATGTATCGCCGATGCACCGCCAATGCATCGGCGACGTCAGCGACGCATCGGCGCCGTCTGCGAGGAGAAAATCGGGCTCCTCACCGAAGCGGCTCGGTGATGCATCGGCGATGCGGGACGATCCTGCGGCCCCGTCTACTTGGATCCCATCCAGGAGGCCTGGATCTTTCGGCCTTCTCAGATCGGGAGCGGCCAAGAGGGGGGTGTCCAAGAGGGGGGGGTGCAAATCATGACCGGCGGCATGTGCGCGGCCCAGCGGGGGGACCAGGGACGTAATGGAATAAGGAGAGGCGCCGTGAAATCTGAAGAAATATCATGGCCCCCGCCATGATATCCGCCCCCCCCAGTGATCACCCCCCTCTTTGCCGCCCCCGATCAGAAGAACCCAGGGGGGCCTCGTCGGAGGGCTCTCAGAGGCCCGGGAGGGCTCCGCATAAGGCCCCCCCTGCCTTCTCAGAAGCCCCTCGCCCCGCCTGCTCGGACCCCCACTTGGGCGGCCCCGGAGCCCCGGGAGCCGAGCCCGCAGGAGAGGGGACCCGAGCCTCCAGGCGTCGGGACAGGGATCGCGGACCGCAGACCTTCTCGCGGGGTAGGGCTGCAGGTGGTGTGATGGAGAAGAGAGAGAGAGAGAGAGAGAGAGATAGAAAACAAAAACAAAAACGCTCTGGACGGTCCGTGCACCGGAAAGCGATCAGCCCCGAGCGCGGTGCGCTCACTCACCCCACCTCGGGCTGACCCCCCCCTCTGCGTGCCACCAGACTCTGCGATTTCAGAGTCGGCCTCATCATGGGGTTGGGCCTCGCGGCTGGGGGGCCGCCAGGACGGAGGAGTCCGTCCACGCGCGGGGGTGGGGTCGAAAGCCCTGGGGGGCAGCGTACAGTCTGAGCCTTGCCATCGAGGGCCCTCTGGATGGTGCAGGGTGGTGGCGACTGCACGAGAGCGGCGCACGTGCACCGTACCATGTCTGGGCTCCCTTCAGGCCACGCTCCTGCGCGCTACGGTGCATAGTGCTTCGGCTCCGAGGGTCGCACAACTATGCACCGCATCCTTCCTGGGCCGAGGATCGCCGACGCCTCGGGAGGCGCCAACGCGGCACGGTGCATAATGCAGGTCGTTCGCCGAGATTATAGCTGGCCGGGAGGGGGGGGTCACGCATCAGCGCCCGGGGTGGTGATTCACACAGTTGGTTTCTGGCTCTGCTCGTGGGCGTTGTCAGAGCATTTGTATATTATCTGGTCGACCTCTCCGCACCATACGAGCCAACGCCGATTTGTGTCATCGCCCCCCTACGTCATCCTGCCACAACCAAGCTACTTTCAACCTGTACAGTAAGGACGCAAGGGCCTTGAAGGCCACATCGAAGCTTTTCGAGAGGGGCGTGGCCAACGAAAGCGGCCCAGGATGGACCGAGGAGGCAAGGATGCAAGGGGGTACCATTGGGAAGGTTGCCCATCCTTACTATGTGGGTTGACTGTAGTGCCATCAGGAGCCTTGGATAAGGAACAACTCTCCTCTGAGGCCTCAGTTGAGCATAGATGCGCTGGGCGGGGAACGCCAGATGAACACTTACCCTCCTGCGAGACCAACGCGGGCCATTTCCCCCCAAACCGTTGGCTGCGGAAACGCATATCACGACGTCAAAGGCCTGAGAAGGAAGCACGCGCGCGACTCCTCGAAAACCGCGGACCTCTCCTGGAGAACAGTTTGTTACAAGAGATCTGCCATCAGGACCGCTGTCAGCAAGCCCCTCCAGAGCAGAACAAAACAAAGGCACACATCACAACCACCACCATCCAATGCAGTAGCGACTTCGCTCACACCAGTCATGTGCCTTGAGTTTCCCACGCCAGATCATGAACCTGCATAGAATGTGCGCAAGCAAGCCACACACACCAAAATACAACACCACAGTTGCAATAACATGCGATACAAGCAAACCAAATCATGTACGCCCCTGCGAGCGAACGCTACCTCACTCAATGATATGATGACTATCAAGATTGAGAAATGTCTCCTGCGGGTCTCTTCTCCTCGTATATGGTCGTGGCAAAGTTGCAGCGTAGACCGTGGCACAGTGCCTGTGACAACGAGGAGAAAGATATTACACCATGAAATGATATCTAATGATCGCATGCTGCCCTCGACGCCACCGCAACCATCACCCGACAGCAACACGATATCATCATACTTTAAATTAGGATGCCAACTCTGCCAGGCATGCAGAGGCTGGCAAACGCAATACAAGGCGGGCAACGAATGGCTAAGAGAGGCAACCACACAAAAATGCTGCGATGTGTTCAGACTTGCGAGGCTCGACCTTCATTTCGAAATGACTCGCTTGACTGTTACCTGTTACGACACCGTGACTTGTTTTGACTTGCATGTCTTGGCTGCGTTGCACAAATGATTATTACAGTCGGCTAGGTTCGAAAGGATGTGAGTTGCGTGGCGTTGGTTCGACTCCGTGTTACATTCGACTGAATGTCTATGCAACGCTGTGGTTTGCGATTCTCCTGTTTGATATGATGTCGCCGAGTAGCTCAAGTGAGCTGTCGTTTGGTTTGATGTTGCCTCAAACTTTCTGCACACGGACTCCCCGCGCACTGCTTGGATAGGCGGACTTCTCGACCACTTCCCTGGGGCCAATTGTTAGTCGGGGAGACGCAAGACTCGGGTACGGGGGACTCGGGTTGGCCTGACGGGGCTCTCATGAAACTGACGAGACCCAATCTGAAATTTGACGCGAACTCCCGCTGCGGACATCCCACGGAAACCGGACCGTGGAAATCCGGGACGGGCTCGCCAAAAAACGCCGGCAGAAACCGAGTTCTGGCTTCTTCGAGTCTTGCGCTTCGCCGAGTTCGTCCCGAGCCGTTTTCGACGGTCTCCCGAGACCGAAACTGGCCTCCGAAGGCCGAACGCTCAGGAACTGACGCCGCCTCGGATGGTCTCGGGAGCCTGCGACTCCCGCCCCCCCCCCCCGCCCCCGAGGCCCGGCCCGCGCCCAAAGCAAGCCCCGACCGGGCGGGCCAACGAGGAGGGAGCGAGCTGGGTTCGGCCGGGGCCCCTCCTCGGGGGGAAGAACATCCCTGCGGCGAGCTCGTGCCTCGACGACTGGCGCGCTGGAGTCCGACACCACGCGGGCTTTTGGACACCCGAAATGGGTACCGAAAGAATGGGTACAATGCCCAACAACAAATGTTGTCCCAAACCAACAGCGGCCGCTGTTGGGCAGGCGGCCTTCTGTCTCGAACGGACACAGGCCGCGGCGGCGCGGACAGCGAATCCTGTTCAAACTGAACAGGAACTGCTGCTGGGCATTGTACCCATTCTTTCCGTGCCCATTTCGGGCGTCCAGAGGCGCGCTGGAGTCCGACGCCACGCGGGCGGTCCATCCCGGAGCGACCGCGGCTCTCCGGCAGCGCGGGTAGTTCGACGGCGGCTGCCTCTGGGGCCACCGGCGGCGCTCCGCATGGAGCGCCCGCGCGCGGTTCGCCGCCGCGTCGACACGCCACGGGCCCGCCGTGCCGTCGGACCCTGGGCCAGAGGAACGTCCCGCAAGAGCACGAGACCCTCCGTCAGCCAAAACACACCGAGAACATCCGAGGGCCCCCTCCCCCAGGATGCACACTAACATCCACCAAGCACGCATCACATTTAGGGTGCACTCCAGGAGCCGACCTCGAACTTGTACCTCGGTCCGACAGTAGCCGACCCCAGGGATCTCCCTCCTTTTTGGTGTCGTCAGGGCGCAGCGCCCGCTTGGCCTCCCACATCCATCAACATCGAGCCTGAGAATCGAATCGAATCGGAATGTGTGTCGGATCGGAACGCATCGGCACGGAGTCGAGATCGAATCGGATCGTCTGCGCACACCAGCGGCATGCAAGCATCGGGCCGCATCGGATCGCCGGAATATCGGGATCGGATCGGATCAAGCGGGCCGAAATCGATATCGAATCGGCTCAAACGGATCGAAATGGGCCCTGCCGCCCTGATCAGGGAGGTCGGCGGACCGCCTGCGACGTCAAGGTCGACGGCCATGAAGACGCGCTGGAGCTTCTGGCGCAACACCCTCCGCACCTGCGGCTGTGGCAACACGGGCGGAAAGGAGGGAGACGGAGGGGGGAAAAGGGACAGACAGACGACGACGACCGACGACGAGGAAAGAGGATGAGGAGAAAAGAGGAGTGGGAATAAACTGCGCATTGATGAGGACGAGAACCAGGACAAGGAGGACAACTAAAGGGGTCAGAGGAATCGAAGGGCACCATCGTGACGCCAACGCAAGAACTGCTCACGGCGTGTGAGATTCTCCCCCCTCCCCAAAACCCTCTCCCGGGGGCCTGGTCCGGCCGGTTTGGAAAGGGGGGGGGGGAGGGCAAATCCGTCATCCGCACACTTGGAGCCTCAGGACGCCCCAAAACGGGCCAAAAAGGTTCCAAAGGTTCCCGGAACGGTCCAAGAGAGCTACGAATCGACGAAAGATGGCCCCAAAACGCCGAAGATTGCCTCCACACGGCTCCATAAGTCCCCAAGACGTTTGAAACAATATTACGAGGCGCCCCAAAGAGGCCCTCCATTAGCAAAAATCATTTCATTTCTTAAGGGGAAACGTACATTTTCACCACACTCGCCCATTCGGATTCCACGCGGCGCAAAACGGCCCAAGAATCCTCCAAGATCCAAGATCGACCCTCGCCAGCCCAAGAGGCTCCCAAAAAGGCTGCAAGGCGGCGTCCGGGCGATCCACGAAGGCCCCAGAAACCATAGCAACGGCTTAGGAAAGCCGCAGGACGGTCACAAGAGGGCTCCGAAACGGGGCAAGAGGGCCCCCAAAGGCTGTCCATTCGGTCACGGCCCCATGGGAGTCCACGACGTTTGCATACGCGACCACGAGGCGCCCCAGGAAGACCTCCAAAAGCAAGGGCCGTCCAATTCCCTAGGTAAAGCGTACATTTTCAGCACATTCGCTTCTTGGGCTTTCACGAAGCCCACAACGGCCCAATAAACCTCCAAGATCGACCCCCGTCACCCGAAGAGGCTCCCAAAAAGGCTCCAAGACGGCTTCTGGGCGATCCACGAAGGCTCCAGAAATCATAGCAACGGCAGGAAAGCCGCAGGACGGTCCCAAAATTATCGGGGATGGACAGATCCCCCTTTAGTAAAACGTGGTTTAGTGAAAACGACCTGAGGCCCAAACCTGGCGGGCGCAAGCCTGGAAAATAACGGCCACGGCGCCCTCTCGAGAACCGAAAACGGACAAGTCTCTAATCGACGTGTCACTGTTTGGGGTTCTGTCCACCCCCGACAAAAGGGCTCCAAAACGGGCCAAGAGGGCTCCCAAAGGCTGTCCGGACGGCCCACGTGGGGGACGATTTGGTCCAAACCGCCCAAGATTGCCTCCAGACAGCCCCATGGGAGTCCACGACGTTTGCATACGCGACCACGAGGCGCTCCAAGCAGGCCTCCAGAAGCAAAAACCGTACCATTCCCGTAGGAAAACGTGCATTTTCAGCATATTCGCTTCTTGGGCTTCCACGAGGCCCACAACGGCCCAGTAAACCTCCAAGATCGACCTCTGGCGCCCCACGAGACTCTCCAAAAGGCTCCACGACGGCCTTCAGGCGCCCCGCGAAAGCCCCAGAAACTATAGCAACGGTCCGGGGGAACGGCAGGACGGTCCTAAGAGGGCTCCAAAACGTGTCTAGAGGGGCCTCACGGGCTGTCCGGACAGGTCACGCGGGGGACGATTACTGCCTCCCCAAGGGGTCGGAGGTGTGGTTTAAGCCAGTGAATCAGGAGACGCGGAGAAGTACGATCGAGGGAGGAGGAACGCAACGGCCCAGCACGGGATGTTTCGGGGAAGCGTGTAAAGGACGAGGGGGAAGGATGATGATGGAGGAGAACGGCGGAGGATGGATGAGGGAGAACGGCGGAGGGAGGAGGAGGAGGAGGGAGGAGGAGGAGGAGGAGGAGGCCGACTGTCCTAGCGCCACCCTCGGCTTGCAGGGAGGAGGGAGGAGGATCAGGAGAGCAGACTAATTAAGCTCCTGCCTCGAACGGGGATGATGATGATGATGATGATGATGAGGAGGAGGAGGAGGAGGAGGAGGAGGAGGAGGAGGAGGAGGAGGAGGAGGAGTCGGCGGAGGAGAAAGAGGAGGCACAGGGCAAGTAGACGGAGGACGGGGGGAGTGGAGGGCCCCCTCACCCCAGAGCGCGCCTGGATCCCCCCCCAAGCCGCCGAACAAGCTGCCCCCTCCCCTATCCTCCCTGCCTCCTGCTCCTCAAGCCGCCGTCCCGGCTCGAGGTTTTGGGTGCAGCGCCTCGGTACAGGGTACCGCGCGCTGCGAACCTCGACTGCCGCAGGACAGCTGCCATACGCGCTGGCCGCCACGCCCGCCTGGCGTGCTGCGCGCTAGCCGTGCCGCGCGCACCGCGCGCCGTGCGCCGCCTGCCAGGCGTGCCGCGCGCGCCGCGCGCCTGCACCGCGCCCAGGCGTCACGCCCCGCGGGCGGCGCCGAGCGCGCCCTGACCCGGCCTGGCATCGCCGGGCTCGCTGGCTGCGCGGCCAGGCGCGGCGTCGCGCGCGCCCGCGCGCGGCTCGCGCTCCCGGAGGAGCGCCGCGTGCAGGCCGCCCGCGCTCGCCTGGCCGCCCACCACAGCGCCGACCCCATGATGGGCAAGGGCGGTGCTGGTGGCGGTGGCAAGGGCCCTGCGGGGTGCCGGGGCTGCGCTGGAGGCGGCGCCAAGGGCGGAGCCGGCGCCAAGGGCGGTGCAGGCGTGCCTGGCCTGGGCAAGGGCGTCGGCCTGCAGCCCGGCCTGCAGCCCTGGCTGGGCGCTGTGCCGCCCCCCCCGCCGCAGTGCTGGTGGTGCCCGACCTGCGGCATGGCGAATGCAGTCAACGATCTGCTGTGCCGCACGCGCATGCCGATGCCGCCGCATGGGCCGCGCGCCGACGCTCCAGCCCCCGAGCTGCACACGGGTGAGCGGCGAGAGCGGCGCCGCGCGGCCAGTGCTGGCCATGAGCGCGCGGCCAGTGCGACTCGGACCACGTCGAGCCGCCGCCGCCGCAGCCGCCGCCGCGAGGATGAGCGCCACGTCGGCTTCGAGGACGACGTCGACGAGGACGGGGTGCTCTCGGAGGGGGGGGCCAGCTCCCCACTTGGCATCCTCCCTGCGCTCCCCGAGGTTGTTCGCAAGCACCAGTGCTGGGTGGAGCCGCCGTCCTCGGAGAAGGAGCTGGCCGCCCACCGCAAGAGCCTGAAGCCGATGGCGGCGGCGACAGGCCAGCACATTCGCGCGGCCCGAGACCTCGGAGTGCAGCCGGCCCAGCTCGAGGCCCAGGAAGCCGAGCACGCTGCCCTCCTGTGTATGATCATTGTTGCACGCAGCCCGGGAGTGCGCTGCGACCGTCAACGTGCGTTCGTGGCTCGAGCGCAGACGAAGTTGGAGAAGGCTCAGTCGGCCGTCGTCGCCTGCCGAGATGAGCTGACTCACTTGGAGGAGAAGGCGCAGCAGCGGGAGCAGGAGCTCGCTCGTGCGCAGCTGCTGCTGGAGCAGCTCGAGGAGATGACGCCGGCCGCCAAGTCTGAGGATGGAAGCTTCGTCGAGGTCGGCGGCGCCGACGAGGCCATGTCGCCCGCTGCTGGTGCGTCGCAGCCTGCGACGCCGCCCGCGCAGGAGCCGCCTGCCGTCGCCGTGGTCGCGCAGCTGCAGGCGGGGCAGCTGCAGCTGGCGGCGGAGATGGCGAAGATGTCCAGCGTCCTGGCCTCGCTGCAGACCGCTCTGGCCGCGGGCAGCCACGGCGCCGCGCCCGCGCCCGACGCGCCTGGCCCCGTGGCCGGGCCCGCCGCGCCGCCGCCTGGCCCCGCGGCCGCTGCGGATGCCACCGCCGCCCAGCGCCGCCCGCCCGCCGCGGAGGCCCCGCCTGCGGGCATGGAGGCAGCCGCCGAGGCCGCGGCGCGCGAGGGCCGCAGCCCGACGCCTGAGGAGGCGCGACGGCTGGAGGCGGCGCGCAAGCAGTCGGCCAAGGAGGCGCGCCAGGCGGCCAGGGATGCCAAGCGAGCTGCGAGGCCGCCAGGGCAGCAGGGCCTGCAGCAGGCCATGCAGCGACAGCAGGATGCTGCCCAGCGGCAGCAAGAGGCGGCCTCGCATCGTGGGCGCGCGGCGGTCGCTCCGCCTGGGCACGTGGACGACCCTCGCGCCCCCTCACCCAAGGGACGAGAGGGGCCACCGCTGCGCCCAGGGCGCATGCTGGCCAGCCGCATCCCGCCCGTACGCCCTGCTCGCGGAGAAGAAGACAGCCCTGAGTCGTCGCCGGGGTGATGTCACCCCCGCAGGCCGCGGCACCTGAGACGCCTGCCCCGGAGCAGGCGCCGCGCGGCCTGCCAGCGGCCCGCATTTTGCTGGCCGCCCCCCAGGCGCCGCCACGGGAGGACCCCGTGGACGAGCGCCCGCCTTGCCCTCTTCCCGACTGCCAGGAGCTCTTTCGCCTGCTAGCCGAGCCCTGGCCTGCTGAATCGTCTCTCACACCTCTCTTTCTCGGTCTCGATCAGTCATCCGATTCCTGTCTTTTTAAACCATATCTACATAGCAGTACTTGCCAGTTTCTGGATACCCTCGGAGCTCACCCCCCCGCCCTGGATTCGGAAATCGTGCGCTACGAGGTTCATGCCGATGGGTCAGGAGGCTCGAAACATGCTCTGCTGGGCGGGCCACCTTCGTGGGCATGGGTGCTGTGTGCAGTGTCGTCAGACGGTCGATATCGGGTCGAAGGATATCTCACAGGTGTGGATCCCACACTCTGCGATCAGGTTACTAGTGTCTCCGATGCTGCCGAATTTCAAGCCGCGCTGTGGGTTGTGCTCTGGTTCCTGCAAGCTCCGACACAACATCGACGATACCCTATCACAGTATATACGGATAATCTCATGGTGGTACAGGCGGCTGCGGGGGGGGTACGGTACGGCTCATGCGGGGACCTACCACAGTTGCTCGATGGGGTCCTCAAGCTACTGAGAACACAAGTACGTCTGGGATGGTTGCATGTACGTGGACATTGTGCAGACCCACGGAAC